CACTAAGATAAGATGACAGAAGTGGCATCCTTAGAATGTTTTGGGATCGATGGTCGTTGCTTGCCACGGCTGGCGGCAACATAATGCTCCCATTGTTCCGGTTAACAAGATGGATTAATGGTCTAGGCAGAGCTACGCAATTGATTGGCACGGGATCGCTGGGGCTTTATTAGTGGTGTGTTTCAATGTGCCATTTCGTTCTCGCCTATAACACCCTCAGCGGCTTAAACCGTGTAATCACTTTAATAAATCCCACAACGGAAACTTCTGACCGCATCCTCGCTTTGGGAGGTATGGTTACCCCGCTCTTTCATATAACTTGCATTGCGTTGCTGAATTCTGATTGATCTCGCACTGTGAAGGCAGAAGTACGGTACCTTCGCCGCGGAAGATGACCCTCGCTAGCGATCGCCCGCATCACTGTCACCACGCACTACTTGTAGAAGATGTATTGCGGCACATCTTCGATGATCTCCCTGATAAATCGCTCGCAGTAGCAGCGGTAACCTGTCGTGCCTGGAGTGACGTTGCATTGGACTCGCTATGGGAATCTGCCGACTTCTTCCACCTGCTCTCCACGCTTCCCACAAGCTTCGTCTCTGCTGGAACTCTTGTGAGCGCATCTATGGTGTGTTTTGACGCGCCCGGCCACTCATACCTCGTTAAATAGTATTACGATGGAGATTCAGATACACCTATCTCTTGGGGTCGGTTCAACAGTCTTGCCGCTCGTATCAGATATGTACGGTTCAACAGCCTGATGCTCGATTCATCCCTAAAAATCTCCATATCCATCGCCGTCACGCAATCTAAACACGCTCGCCTCCTTCCGAACATCCGCACTCTGTCCTGTACTTGCAACGATCTCAAAGACCTGGATTACGTCGTCGCACTCATTTGCCCTCGCGTACGGACATTGGCCCTCTCCCTTTCTTTCAGACCCTGGCCTAAAATCTTCGCAACCGTCTCTGACATCGCACCAAACATCGTGCAACTAGACGTCCTCGCGAATCATGGGGGTGTGGTGCATGATCTCACCCAAATTATTCCACTGCTTCCGGGGCTCAAAAAGTTGAAGATGTCGTTACGACGCTGCGATCCTGACAATGACTCTTTATTTGCTGCCCTGGCGGTCCACCCGTTACTGGAAGACTTGTGGATTGACGGAGGCCATCGGTCACAGGGGAGTCCTACGTCACAGACCCCAAATTATTTCCGCGCCCTTCGCACCCTCTACCTATCCCAAAGCGAAGATAGGTGTGCACCGCTGTTGAACTGTGTTGGTCCTCATTCGGAGTTACGGGACATCAACATTGGCTCAGGCGGACATGGGGTGTTGGATCTCAGCGAAACATTGCACGCCGTAGGCGCTCACGCTCGGCTAGAGAGTCTAGCAGTGACAGGAGAGCACAGCGTTGTCCCTCTTGCAGTCAGTAGCTTGAAGGCCATCGGCGCGTGCTCCTCGCTTTACTTCTTGTTCGTCAGGGTCGAACAAACGATGGACATCTTAGACGCGGACATTGAATTTCTAGCATCCCATCTAACTGCCCTTCAGCACTTCGCGCTGTTCCTTCACCAAAAAGCGTTCCGCCCTCCAGTATTGACACTTCGCGCATATGCCGTCATCACCGCATCATGTTCGGATATCGAGACCATACACCTGCAGGTCGACGCGTCGCGCAACGCGGACTGCGACGTTCCCCGTCCACATAAGCGTTTACGTTCTGTACACGTACGGGAGAGCCCTATCGAGGATGTCGAATCGGTGGCGCTGTTCTTCTCTCGGCTGTCAGCGGTGGAAGATCTGACGATCAAGCATTATCACTTCGACTCCGAGAGCAGAGTAGCGAAGAAATGGGAAGATGTGAAGTATATCATACCCTTCTTGCGTCCATAGAATTGGAATGGGCGCGGATCGTAGTGAAGTTCGAGGCTAGTGATTTGTTCCGACAACGGTCAGGAGATGGACGTGACATGTGCTCGCAACAGTGAGGAGAGTCTTGTGGTGGGTCTTCATCGGTTATTAACCTGTGGACGCACTTGGTGATTTCGGGATCCCTTTGCTGTGTCGAGTACGAGCGGCCTACTTCATTTCGTCACTATCCCAAACAGCACGTCCTCCTGACCTTTTCATACCATCATGTATATATATCAGGGGTAGTAATCAAAGCCGGCAAGTTTGTGCATATCCTCAAAGCGTTAAGAAGCTGGAGATGGCTCCCCACCATGTAGCTATTCAACTGGCCATTCAATCATGAGGCACAGTCAGTTAGCGGTCATGCCGAGTACGTACCTGGACGTTCTCGACGTTTTCACATGTCTACAAGACAGAAGAAGGCACCAGGTGCAACGTTTTGGGTAGTTCTCGTTTTGCAATTATTCCCCACTTGTTGGCTCATCTCGATCCGTCTCTCGATCGTTTGTAGATCCTTCGTGTCATAGTTTGCGGAGCGCGCTGACGATCCTAATGACGTCACGCGTCAATCGCGGTTATAAACCTCCTGAGTCCTCAGTCATTTTCCATACATCCTCCCTCCTCCCCCTTCAATCCTTCAATACTTAAAGTTCACCGTTAACATGTCCAACACAGTCGTGAGTCCCTCCAACGAATCCAGCCTTGATCGAGTGGTGCTCAACCGAGGAGTTTCCTTCCTTTTGTATTTCCAGTCCAAGTACGAGTCACACATCAACGACGGTGATCAGAAGGATACAGGTCCACAAGTGGACGCAAACAGATACAACCACGGAAAAGAGAACGCCCATGCCCCATTCGGTGAGACCTACCTTCTGGTTTTGAAATGACGCGCAGGTTCACCTTGTGTCTTTCGAAGATCTCAAAGACGACCGATCACTAGCAGACCGTGCTGCTGCTTCGGTCCAACGCGAGACGGAGGAGGATGCCGCCGTTGCTGAAGCCCATGCTAAGCCGCCAACCGCAGCCGCGCTCCAACACAGCAACAAGCCTAGCCGAGGCGCTGAGATCGACGAGCGAATCCAGAAGGACGAGGAACGGGAGTTAGAGCACAAGGGGAAGATATAGCCTGGGCATTCTAAGAGCCGTGTATTGTAATACCTTCACTATGTGTCCAAGGGGGCCTTACGCATTTTGAATCTATCGCGCCAGAATGAATGGCTCAACTAAGACACATCCTTTTCATTTTCTATGTGAACCAACAATGATCACAAGCCATCCTTCTTGATAACAAAACTAGATTCTCACCGGATATCTGCACACACTATAGATCACCCGAAAGCCCATTCGCTGCCTGCGCATCAGCTCTTGTCTGATGCAGAACTGAAACCATCTCCTGCACCTTCTTCCACTTTCTAGCTTTATGTATTGCGTCGGCTCCGCGATGGGTGTAAGAGAGCTGGAAATCTTCTGCCCAAGATAGTCGAAAGAGGAACTGCGTCACCATTTTCGAATCCTCCACAAGACTATCCTGTACTTCCACAGACCGCAGGAACCTATGTGGCTGGGAGATGTCACACGAGGCGTCTCGAGTGGCGTCCACTTCCATGCTAATGGTGTGGAGGTTGGGACATGAGGTGGCGAGGAGAGCGTACGCGCGTAATGTGGTCTTGGGCTTCCAGCCTGATCTGTAGCCTAGGCCCAGCTTGAACGAGCGCAGATCTGGCAGTTGAATAGCGAGATATTCGATATCAGCGTCTGTGTTGGCGACTGGCTGACGAAGTAGGAGACTGAGTATTTGCAGGGCGGAGCAAGTGTAGATGGGATGGAGGCTGCCCCATAGAAACGGTTGGTGACTCCAGGTACCATCAAGGTCGATTTCCTCCAGTCGAGTGTGATGGCCTAGTGCTTCAAGTATCTCTTCTATTGGTGAGGTTTCCTTCTCATCTCCGTGCAACGCAACACACAGCAGCCCTGGTACGGGGTTAATGCTCCGTAGCAATTGCGTGTAACCTCTTCCTTTGCGTGCACGTATTTCGCGTAGTTTGGAGAGCGATGTAGATGTAAGAGGTTGGGACCGAGAGGATAGTTTGCCGATCAAGTGAACTTCTTCGAGTGACGGATGGCTCGTTATCGCAGCAACCAGGTCATCAGCATCTAGCCATGTCTCAGAGTTGATCCAGGAGGTGGCTTTCGTTAAGGCACGGAACGACAGCACCATATTTGTGAGGGTTTCTATGATTTCCGCGATCGCATCCAGGCTGGCCCCAATATGGAACTCGGTTAGAGTTGGGCTAGCAGTGGCCATATGAGTAATGGTCTCCAGAGAAGGATTAGATTCGACCAATCGCATCTCAAGTCTACGGAGGGTTGGGCCCATGAAGACCGGGAGGTGAAGGAGATCCTCGGATGCACACGCCGGGCCCGTGGTAGCGAGTACTTGAAGGCTTGGGAGGATGGGTTTGTCGTCCCGGCTCGATCTTGAGAGGAGAAGCTCAGCGATGAGAGGCTTATGGAATCTCTGACCGAGTGTGGTTTTCTTAACTCTTGATGCGAGATAATCGAACCGTTTCCATGAGCCAGGAGTAACAGCCTGTGTAAAGCTCTAGAAAAAAGGAGTCATCCGGATGAGGCATTTCTCTCAGGAAGATGACATACCACCCATGCGCACCCATAATGGTGGGCTCGCGTGTGAGCGTTCCATCGGAGAGAGGATAGGGAGGAGGACGTTTAAAGAAACGTCTTCCCATAGTATGTCCAGAGCAGGATCACTCCAAGCATGACAAGTAAGGGCCACATTTACAAGTGATTTAAGCGAAAGCATTAGGAAGATACGTCGCAAAATGTCTTCGATAAGTAACGCGGGGTGACAGCGACCTGCTATGTTTTGGGTCTGGTGGACGATCGAGTCTGATGCCACGCCTTGGTTGCTGAGTGGGTTGAGCATGGGTTCTTTGGCGGTGAAAGAGCCGTCTCGATGCCGGAGGACGAGATGTTGAGAGGAGGTTAAGAGTAAGGTCAGATGACTTCGCCAGGGAATTGATTTGTTATTTGATAGGTAACAGCTTAAAAATCAGCTCCAGTATCAGGTGAGATGGCCGAGCGGTCTAAGGCGCTAGATTCAGGTTTCTTTCGGTGGCTTCGCACCCCACTTTCTAGTCAGAAATGGCGTGGGTTCGAATCCCACTCTCATCAGATTTCCTTTTGCACTAATCCCCAAGCCTATTTAGATTTTATGGAGGACTATCTCCAGTCAACCCGTTTGCCTATTGTGCCTTCCCTGCACGCTCATATAGTGGTGCTCGTGCCAAATCCCCTCGTAGTTTTGTGATTTCCTTGCTCAGCTTCCCCAGAACCACCTGTTTGTCGTATTTGTCAACAAAGAAGATATGTTTCATCTTCCCTGGGCACTGGGATCGGATGAGATATAGTTATTAATGACTATCTACCCCTGCTACTGATGTTGCAAATATCGGGCCACCTCAACAGTGCTCAATCCATATCCTATCGCACAAGCATATCTTGAGGATATTTAAATAAGGATTCCTACAGAGGTACAATACATGACACAAGTCAAAGCGTCTTCAGATACCAATCCCTCCATGAACTGCCTTGATATGATAATACATATCGCCAGCTTGTGCAAAGGTTTCCATACATCCCCAACAGATATGCGTCCGACACCAGCTACACTCTATATGATTACAACCTTCGTCCTTGATGATGTCAATGCCACACCTCGGACATGACTTGACGTTGTTTTCTTTCTTGTATCGTCGCACCATGGGGTCCTCTGTGGCTCTAACCACTTTGTATTCTTGACACGTGAGGCCTTCATGGGCCGTAACATGACAAGCAGCACAGATGTGCTGCATGCAAGTCTGGCAGAGTAAGACTGACACTCCAGAGGGTTGCGGTTGATAGACCCATTCGCAGTCCATGCTTGGACAGTACCGCACCTCTTTGGGGTGTTGTTGGACGTAAGTTGAGAAAGCGGCACTGAAGAAGACCCGCTCCTGCTCCGTTGTAAGAACGCGTTGGACGATGTCGAGAGGGATGGGAATGTTGCATGTGCCTGAATCGGCTTGCACCACGCATAGGACGGGGAATATTTTGCTGTTCGATGCTGATAGTAGGTAGTCCCTGAGGCATGCATTACAGTAGTCATGCCCACAGCCGAGGTGCACGACGTTGGCTGGATCGCAAAAGCAGACTGGACACGCATCGGCTGCTGTCGGACGGCCTTCTTTACTGGATGTGGCGACGTTTTGTACAAAGGTCTTTGCTGCACGGAACGCTTCTTCTGTGCCTCGAATGATGAGGAGGTGTTTTGTGATATCTAACGCCACTATCTATCTCCTCCCCAATCTCAGCCTCCAGCTCATTCAGGTCTCCTAAAAGCAGCTGGCGCCAAGTTCGCGGATCTAGGGGACCAATCAAGCGCTGCTTCCCGACCTGCACGAGTACTTGCTCTGTGGCTACAGCCTTTGCAGTATGCGTACCAGACAGGGTAAGCATCTGCCCCTTGGAGTTACGAAAGACGAAGGATCCCGGTTGCTGATTGATCTCGTAGAGGAATGTGGTCCCAGCAGATGTATCAAAGAACGAGTCCCAAACGAGCGATCCATCATCATCTAATATCAGCTCTCCTTCGATCAGCTGCTGGAGTGTTCGCTTAACCGCGCCAAAGTCCTTAGGGTCATCTCCTGAAAGCGTCAGGGTCACTTTGGTCTCTCCTGATTCGATGTGAAGGTGTGTCCCGCCTTGGACCTCCTGCAAGCGCGCCCGGATTTCCTGCAACTCCGGACCTATGACGGTGAAGTGATGGGCTAAGACATATAACCGAATGGACCAGAGGGCCTTAACGTAGAGTGTGCCCTTTCCGAGAATCGATTGTGGTGACATGTTGTATCGTGCCACTGCCGTGACTACAGCGTCCGCATCCCGAAATGTCACAAGGCATTTCTGCCTCCGAGGCGTCCGGGGAAGATGCTGGAAGGACACAGTGGGACCGACTCCTTCCATCAACGCCTCCATAGCTTTCATACACTCCTCTTCATTGTAAGTGAGGCGTAGATCGACGGAGTTGGCGCCGGCCCATTCTTCAGCGTCTTCGTCCCCAGCATCCACTAGTAGTCCCTTTATCAACACGGTATAGTTTGTGGGTCTCGAGCTTGTGGTACCGTATCGACCTTGACGTATCGCGGTATGCCCTTCTGGCTGAGCCATGAGCACCGCTGAGACCTGCAATCCGCGGAAGAACCGGCCATCGAAGTACTGAGCACACTGAGAGGCTTCGAGCTCCGATTTATAATGCACGAAGGCCATACAGGCGGGTGCTCTCCAGCTCAGCTGCACAGTCATGGGCCGGAGCGAACCCGAACCGTGCTGGTAAGGTTTTTCTAAACGGCATGAAAGAGGCTCCGAATCGATGGTGACTCCCTCTAACATTGAGTACGCTTCAGAGGCTTGGTTGGGGTGAGCGAATTCCACTGATGCAGATAGAGATTGTTTCGTCCTGGCACTACTGTCGGCGAGTTTAGAGTGGATAACGCCGGGAAAGCGATTCAGCATGTGGCCCAGGCGTTCGGGGGTGTAGTGCGCCGGGAGGCCGGTAATAATGAGGCGAGATGACTCTTGGCTGGTGACGATATTAAGGACCTCCCCACCAGGTCCGAAAGATGCTCGTGCACCGCCGTATGATCTTTCTACTGCAGAATGCTGATCGCCTACGCCTCGGGGACATTGGTGTCCTGAAATGAACGAAGTCAGATACTATCTATGTCCAGAAAGACAGATGATAGCATGCTTACAAGTGGGTCAATCGATCTGCTTGCGGTGTTTGACGCAGTCTCCGGCAATGTAAGGCTTGAATGATGCCCCAAAAGGCAAGATGATCCGAAGCGGTAATGGCCCTGCAGCCAGAAACTGCAGACTCCTGTGGGTGCTGTAGCCTGTATCGCTGTCTTGAAAAACAACCATGTGAATGAGTAATGTTATCTATTATCACGAGGATTAATGTGAAAATCCGTACTTGTCCTGACCCTGTTCCTCCTCTGTTCCCTAAGGGCCATGAGGCGTGCCCAGCCTGATTTCCGGATTTGGCCTCCGTGAGAGAAGTGACAGGGAATGCGGGGACCTTTTCTCCCTGCGATGCCTTGCAACGCCACAAGAGTTCGCACACGTCTCTTCCACCCCAGTTTCGATTGCAAAATAGTTAGAAATATGTAATTGTGGACAGATGAAAGGAAAGTAGAGGCGGATTGGATCCGCCAGGATGGAAATGTGGTCCTGGTGACACTAATTAGTATTTGGACTGGGGCTATTGTCGTTGGTGATCGCACAAGCGACAACATTCCATGATTGGGAGCCTGTAAGTTATTAGGCATACAAAAGGTAGCATACTTATGAGATTGTATTTATTATCTGGGCTAAATCAGACTGGAATGATGGTCCACAATGCGCGCAAATACATATGCAGAAAAAAAAAGAATCCTTGAGATTCCATTATTATTCTGTATCTCAATAGATCATATAATATATATATTAATTAGGCTCCTCATCACGTCGCTTGTGCGATGGCCGAGTCTCCGACATGGGCAGTGTCGTGTGCCAGCGACAGCAGCCCCTGCTCGGATACCAACGAACGTCCCCGCATTCCCTGTCACTTCTCTCATGGGGGCCGAATCCGGAAATCAGGCTGGGCATGCCTTATGGCCTTGCTAAGTCTCTATTCAAACTCTACTGTCTCATGACCCCTTCTGGTTATATCCATGTTGACAGTATCATGATACTTAAGGTTTACTTGCACATTGATGTTCTCCTCAACACTGACATGTTCCTTCTTTGATGTTCTCTGACACTGACACATTCCTTCTCTGATGTTCTCTCTAAATGCTGATGTGTCCCTTCTCTATTGTTCTCTCTACACACTGACACATCTTCTTGCTATGTTCTGAGATTTGTATATAACTAACAAAGTGAGGAGGTCTTGTTCCTCACTTTGCCTCCTGTATTCTCCACTATAAGTCCAAGGTGACTTCTGTATTCAATCCACTGTCCATAGCCCATAGTCCATGTGCCAAGTATCTCACTCACCCCACATCCATGTGCCCACAAGTCCACATTCCCACAGCCACAGTAACCACAGTCGTGACAGTACTGAAGGTGTAATCACAATAATCAGACTTGATTGGGTTGCTCTGGCACCCCAATGACCATACAGACAATTGACCTCTTTAAAGCACTTTCCCTCTTGCCAGAATTTGCATGGCTTGGTAGACAGAGGGCTTCTGCTTGTTTCTAGACTGTGTGTCTCACTAGGTGTGGCCAGACCAAGTGCATTGAATGCAGATATGAATTCTGGTGCTGCAGGGTTCAGCAATGTGGACAGAGAAGGTGTATGCTTCTAATGAGTGTAAGACATGCTTTTAGTCATGTTAGGCAATAGGGAGATTAGTCAACATACAGAAGGTGAGAATGCATGGATTGGACTAGCAATCATCAGGGCAACATTTCCATGACTGAAAGTGCACAAGGTCCCTTTCTTGCAGTCTCCTGCCTGCCAATATGCACATGGGATCTGCTGTGACCATGCCATTGTCCCAGCACTGTCCCCAACTTCCAGAAGACTCTGCATTACAGTCATTTGTGGAGTTATCAAGGGACTTTCACCTCTCCATGTCTGGTCTGGGTTGACCTCTGAAACCAAGTGCAAATATGGGCAAGAATCTCCTCTAGTACACCAGCCTTGTGCCCAGAAAGTGCAGATATCAGGGCAATTGGCCTTCAGTGAGGTTGCAAATGTTGGCAATTTCATTGGTCCTTGAAGAGCAGTCCTCCCATTGGTGTGACTGAATCAGCAGGTGGTGCCATCCTTACAGGTGCCTTGAGGATAAAACAAGCACAGTTTCACACTGGGTATTGGGTTTTGAAACATGTTTGATATCTATACAATGATGTGTCAGGCTGGATTGGACTAGATTAGGAGGCAACAAATATAGGTTGATAAACCAGTGAAGAAGTGAAGTGTTGGGTGGCATGAGGCAGGGACTTGCTAGTGTAACACTGTTTGACTGTACACATCCTTCATCCTGGTCACCTCATGATCATGATCGATACTTCCTTGTCTGAAGGATACACTCATTCTTTCCACATGGGTAGGATCATCTGAACATGTGATGAATAACAGAGAG